CTGAACTGTTTCTTCTGGATATTATTAAAGAAAATTACCCTAAAAGGATAAAATATGTAATTATTAATATAACTACAGCAGCTAGAATTGTACTTGTGCAAGTCTGGAAAATGTCCACTATTTCAATAGACTGTGCAATAATCCAGAAAATTTTCGAATGTGCAGAAATGGACAAACTTATTTTTGAATTAAATAACAAGGAAGACTCGGAATATTACTTAACTTGGGAAAATTGGTATCAATGGATAGAAATTAAAAATAAGAAATGTATATTTTCTTTTTCTTTATCTTTTTTTTTTGACAGGTAGGACGTTGTAGCAGACAATTTTGTGTACTACTTTTAGATCAGACCATAGTCGGCATAGTTGTCGTCTAGGTTGTCTAAGCCCAAAATTTTGAGCCTGGTGGCATAATGTATTCTATTGTGAGCAGAGGAGTGGAGTACTCTTCTCAGGAAATACCTCTGGACTCACTCAATTGTATTAATGTCCAAAATACAGTGTGGATTCCAGGAAGATGAGCTGTATTTGAGAATTGGTCTGACAAAGGTTTTGTATGCCCTAGTTAACAATTTGATGTTACTGGAGAAGCAGCTTCACAAAGTTAGGTTAAGAACCCTTAATGCCTTTTTGGCAATGCTGTTACAGTGAGCTCTGGGGCTTAGGTCATTTGAGATGAGTACTCCTAGGTCCTTGTTTTTATCTTGTGGCTGTTCACTGCCCTGAGTACTTTGGGAGTAGGGCGGTATACAAATCAAATAAACTAAACTAAACTAAACTAAACTTTGACAGAATGAGGGTCATTTACGAGGTCGTATCTGCCCAGCTTGTATTTGGTGTTCTGATTTTTATTTATTTTATTTATTTTATTTTATTTTTGAATTTGTATACCGCCCTTCTCCCTGAGGACTCAGGGCAGTGAACAGCCAAATAAAAACATCAAATACAAATATTAAAACACAGTTAAATATATATATATATAGATTTGGCCCCATTAATTAAAATGATAAACAAAACAAAACAATTAAAAGACCCTTAAAAAGAATTAAGCCAGCCCGGCTTGTTGAAAAAGGAAAGTTTTAAGGGCACGGCGGAAGGCACTGAGGTCATGGATTCTCCTTATCTCAGGGGGCAACTTTTGTTGCCAATGTGTTAGACAGAGCATTTGTTGGCTGAGATTTGGAGTTGCCAATTGTTTGACCATTCAGACACATAGTCAAGGTCGCTTTGTAGGGCAGCAGTATTGTCAGTGGTGTTGAATAGTTTTACGTCAACAGCGAAAAGAATGCAGCCGGTTATAATATGATAATGACTAATAATGACAAATAAGTGACCTTGACTCTTGACCTTGACTCGAACAATTGGCAACTCCAAATCTCAAACAACAAATGCTTTGTCTTACACATTGACAGAATGCCTTCAAGGATGAAGTCCCCTGGTTGGTATTTTTGGTGAAGTAGAGGTAGAGGTTTGCTGATGCTGCATTTAGCACTGGAAATCTTACCCACAATCTTGGGAAAAAGGACCAAGACCAGTGCTACAAAGACCATCATACTGAATGAAGCTGTTCCTTATTTAAGTAATTTTGCCTGTCTTAGCATTGCCTTTCCTTAAATTGGACAGTTGGTATATGGAACCAGAGAATTCTTTTTTACTGAATAGAATCAGTGGTCAGATATTACCATTCTGGAGTGATTATAACAGTGCTGTATTTTTTTCTTGGTTCTTGTTATTTTGCTTTTGGTGAGGGGAGGGTTGTGTGCATGTGCTTATTGCAATTCCTTTGAGAATTGATGACTCACAAGCTCCCTTCGCTAAATAGATTCTTACAGGTGAAATTAAATTCTTTTTTAAAAAATACTTGTTATTTCTGAATAGAAATATTACTTCATTCTCTTTGCATAATAGTCAGAAATGCAAAAGTTTATTTGCAGGTATGCTGGTGGTTAAAGTTGTTGAGTTAGGAGAGGAAGTTGAAATAAACATAATTAAGTAGTTAATTATAGGGGAGACATTATCCACTTTGAATCAGAGGTTCAAGGAAATGCTGAAGAAAAAAATATGTTGTTTTTTAAGTTCTAAGCACATATCAACAATGGTGTTCTTTAGTGAAGTGGGAAGGTAAGATAGAAGCCTTTAATTACTTACTGCAAGAAAAAAAGATTCTGTTGCAATTTAAGAATTTTTTTTTAATTTTCCTGAATTAGTAATAGGTAATAAAGAAGATTTTTATACCATCTTTGATTACATTGAATACAGCTCATCCGTCTGGAACCCACACTGCATATCCGTCATAAATACAATCAAACAAGTCCAGGGATATTCCACGAGAAGAGTCCTCCACTCCTCTGCTCGCAACAAAGTACCTTATGCCACCAGACTTGAAATTTTGGGCTTAGACAATTTAGAACTTCACCGTCTTCAGTCCGATCAAACTGTAGTATATAAAATCATCTGCTACAATGTCCTTCCTGTCAATGAATACTTCAGTTTCAACCAAAACAATACAAGAGCACACAATAAATACAAACTTATGGTAAACTGCTCCAATCTTCATTGCAGAAAATATGACTTCAGCAACAGAGTTGTCAATGCTTGGAATGCACTACTTGACTCTGTGACTTCTTCCCCAAACCCCCAAAATTTTAATTTTAGACTGTCTACTTTAGACCTCACCTCATTCTTAAGAGGTCTTTAAAGGGCATGCATAAGCGTACCAGCGTGCCTACTGTCCCAGTCCTAATGATCCCTTTTATTCGTATCCATTCCATGTAGTCATAATCATGTTTATACTTGTATCTTTTGTCAGGGCTTGGTTCTCTCCCCCCTTCTATTTAACATCTACATGAAACCGCTGGGTGAGATCATCCGACAATACAGGGTGGGGTATCAGCAATATGCTCATGATACCCAGCTGTATATCTCCACCCAACGTCAGTTCAGTGAAGCGGTGGACGTGATGTGCCAGTGCCTGGAGGCTGTGAGGGTCTGGATGGGAGTCAACAGGCTCAGACTTAACCCAGACAAGACTGAGTGGCTGTGGGTATTGCCTCTTAAAGACTACGTTGATTGTCCATCCTTGGTTCTGGGGGTGGGGAGAAATTGTCGCCCTCAGAATGGGCTTGCAATTTGAGTGTCCTCCTAGACTCACAGCTAAGATTAGAGCAACATCTAGCTAGGGGGACCTTTGCATAGGTTCGCCTGGTGCACCAATTGCGACCCTACTTGGATCAGGAGGCTGTCCTCACAGTCACTTATGCCCTTGTCACCTCACGGTTAGATTATTGCAACACGCTCTACATGGGGCTACCCTTGAAGAGTATTCGGAGACTACAATTGGTCCAGAATGCAGCTGCGCGAGCTGTCATGGGTGCACCTAGATACACCCACATTACACCAATTCTCCACGAGCTGCATTGGCTCCCTATTGGTCTCTGGGTACAATTCAAGGTGTTGGTTATTACCTTTAAAGCCCTACATGGTTCAGGACCAGGCTATCTTCGAGACCGCCTTCTACCGCATAGCTCCCAGCGACCAGTAAGATCCCACAGAGTTGGTCTCCTCTAAGTCCCGTCAGCTAAACAATGTTGGCTGGCAGGCCTGCAGGGCAGGGCCTTCTCTGTGGCTGCCCCAGCTCTCTGGAACCAGTTACCACCTGAGATCTGGACTACCCCCATCCTATTGGCCTTCTGGAAAGCGGTGAAGACCTGGCTTTTCCGGCAGGCCTGGGGCCATTGATCTCGCTGTTGCAATCTTATGAGATCCGGCCATGAATGGTGTGCATGGGCTTTTAATGTTTTTAAAATGTTTTTATAATGTTTTTAAATAATTTTCTATGTTCATTGTCATATTACTTTTGTTGTAAGCTGCCCAGAGTCCCTTGAGAGTTGGGCGGCATAGAAATGTGATAAATTAAATTAAATTAAATTAAATTATCTAATCCATGCTTGATGAAAATGAATAAATAAAAAATCTTGTTCTTAGTTCTTTACATAAAATTGTGAGAAATGGCATTCTTCTAGACAATCAATACAGTCTGTCACAGGTGTGAACAACTTGAGGTTGTATAAATATGCATGGCTTCTGGGCTTGTGCATTAAACAGAACAACAAAAATCATTGGACTGCAACCAAGAACAGAGTGCTTTGTAAAATTGTTTCAGAGTAACCACAGCTAAAACTAAAATTAAACCACCCATGACTGAAGGCCTGGTTATTTCCAAGTCTGCATTTCCTCATCTTGTAGGGTTTGAGGGAGAAGTTTTGTTGAAGTTCCCATTTCCAAAGGAATTCCATCTATTGGGGCTCTGGAGGACAGTCTTCTCTATCATGATGCACTCCTGTGAAACATCTTACCCCCAAGTATGAACACCATTTCCCTTCTGGGTGAAAACTGGAGTTTAGAACAGAGCATTTTATTATTAGAGTTTTATGGTGTTTTTTTTTTAAGATTTACCCTGGTGGTTAATGCTACTGTAAATATCTATATTTATATCTATGAGATATATATATATGTTTTCTCAGGTTTTCGCGGGTGTTTGTATGTAGGTCTTTGGTTATTCAGGTCTTCTCCCACGTAAAATTGGAAGTGTCTTGGCGACGTTTCGACGAAGTCTCATTCGTCATCTTCAGGCTGGTGTTCTCGGCTTCGTGCGTCTAGGAGCAATGTGAGATCGCAGCTGTTTCTTCCTTTTAACTGCTAGTGGGGGTGTGAGCTGATTGGGTGGGAACTTGGCTGTGTTCTGATTGGGTGGAGGTGTGTTCTGATTGGTTAGGGGCTTGGCTGTGCTCTGATTGGATGGGGGGTTGGTTGTGCTCTGATTGGCTGGGGGTGTGTTCTGTTTGGGTGGGGGCTTGGTTGTGCTCAGCTTAGTCTCTCTCTCTCTCATCTCTCCATATATCTCTCCATATATATATATATATACATGACTAAGGCCTCAGTCTCCTGGTTTCTAGCCTAGTATCTTAGAAATTTAGTTGTTCTGCATTTAGGATCCATATATCAGTTAAAGCCACCCTGGGTCTTCGGAGAGGGGTGGCATATAAATTGAATAAATAAGCAAATAAATAAATAAATAAATGGTTCAGTAGAGGGAATTTTTTTTAAAAAGATGTTTCTTTCTTCTGCCATTATTATTTTTTATAAATAATTCAAGGCAGCAAAAATATCTAATTCTTCTCCCTCCTTCTATTTTTCCCCACAACACATGTATGAGGCAGGAGTAGAATTCACAATCTCCTAGTTTCTACCCTGGTCCTAGACAAAACAGGTTTTATACTTCCTGATACCTGATGCAAAATAGGAAACAGCAATTAAATTTATGGTACTCTCTTTTTTTCTCTTTTGAGCTGATCTTTTTTGTTCAAATCGGGCCTCAGCAGAATGATGTACAATTTGGGAGAAAAGATGCAAAGCAGTAATCCAGCACTGGAAGCTATAATGGAGAAGATTTCTACAGCAACCGTATATTTTCCCTTTGAACTCAGGTATGCTGGAACAAAGGACAACCAAACACTGCAGAAGACCAACATGCTGAAGGTGATAAACTTGGCTTCATTGAAAGCATCAGGCAGTTTCCTTGCTAGGAAGGCCAGTGTAAAGCTGACAATGGCAAGGAAGCCCATATAACCCAAGACACAGTAGAACATGAAGGCAGATCCTTCGTTACACTCCAGAATGATTTCTTCTGTTATTGACTTCATGTCAGCATCTGGGAATGGGGGAGAGATGATCAGCCATATAATACAAATTTTAATTTGAATAAAGGAGCAGCAGGATACTAAAAATGTGCCAAGTCTTTTCCCCAACCATTTGGTCACCTTGGACCCTGGCTTGGTAGCCATGAAAGCTAGAACTACAATGATAGTTTTGGCTAAAACACAAGAAATGGCCACTGAGAAGATGATGCCAAAAGAAGTTTGACGAAGGAGACATGTCACCTTGTGAGGTCTCCCAATGAATAGCAAAGTACAAAGAAATGATAACAGGAGAGTAACAAGGAGTACATATGTGAGGTTTCGGTTGTTAGCTCTGACAATGGGAGTGTCCTGATGCTTAATAAAGATCCAAAGGACTCCAACTGTGATTAAAGAGAAGAAAAGAGACAAACTAGCCATAACAGTTCCCAAGGTTTCTTTGTAGTTCAAGAATGTTGTAACTTTGGGGAGACACAAAACCTGCTCCTCATTGGGATGCTGATCTTCTGGACATTGAAAACATTCATCCATGTCTATGAAAGAAAATATCAATGTTGAAGTTGCATTGAAAGAATAAAAACTGATTTTGCAATTGTTCAAAGTGAGGACTGCCAATTAATTTCTGAAAAAATATATGTAGTACAGGAAGTTAGTTGCCATCAACTTATCTATATATATAAAAATGAAAACCACTCACACCGTAATCATGAAATCTCCAGAACCATAAAGCCTACAAACTTGAAATTTGCCACGTATGTTCCCCTTGGCTGCTAGGTGCTCACTAAGAAAGGATTTTTTGAAATGACCATCAGAGCATTAGTATTTCCTATATTATGATTAACACACTCTGATGCTAAGGAGTTCTACTCCCCCACTCCACCTGAAAAAAAATCTATTCCAAATGCAAAACACAAGCAGAGGAGAGGAGTTTCAATTTCAGTTGTAATTTCACAGCAGCAACCAGGAGATAGGATACGGGAGATTTCTGTGTGGCAAACGTGAGGGAGAAAAGGGGGTAGGATAGGGGAGGCTTCTGTGGGGCAAGGCTGAGGTAGAGAAAGGGAGAGGAGAGGCTGATCATAACTACTCATTAATTTTCAAGCAGAGTCAATTTGTCAAGCCAGATCACATAGTTTTGTAGCGAAGCACAGATATTCAGCTAGTATTTGCATAAATTCACTTCTTGCTACCAATAATGAACATGCTTGCAATTCAATTACTTATCCCCATTTTCTAGTCTAATCTGCCAAGTGAAAGAGTTGGCAGAAAACAGAAAATTCCCCATGGTACATTTGACAATCCCATTCATTTGCTAAGGTAGATATATACAATATCTCTTACCCTCCCTGTTAGAAATCTTCCCTTCTGGACATCGAAGACAGTCATAGCAGCAAAATAGTTTTCCTTCTATCTTAATCTTACTGTAGCCTGAATCACACTTCCCATTACACAGAGAAAGTGGCTGGGTCTGTCCATAAATAAATAATTTAAAAAAAGTTTATCTTTGGAAATGTGAGATCTCATTTTCTTTCAGTATTTTCTGAAATGTCCTTCCATCATATTTTTCTTTTGATATAATAATGTGAGACAGCAAAGTCTGCTTTTTGGTGGAAAGGATTTGAACACCTTTTGACCTCAGTGCGAGCTTATAGAGCCAATATTTAATTTGTTGCCAATAAAAAGACCACTTTACGGAGGCATAGATTTACAAATGTTGCTTGCCTTTCTTTGCTTTTGAACATCTGTAAGGCTTTTAGTGAATGGGAATGTTTTTGCATAGACTTTACATGCAAGGTGTGAACTTTCTTTGTGGCCTACTCTATTACTCTCCATTTACCCACCTACTATCCTAGAAGGTATCCTAGGGAACACCAATGAATGACTTTCTAAGTCTATCAGCTAGGTGAGATACACAGAGTGTCACAGGTGGAAATCAGCACTTCACTATGCTTTGAATGCTGCTGGATTGAAAGGATTAACTAGGTGTTGCCGAAGGAACACCCGAATGTCTTAACAGCAGCATATATAGAGAAAGACTCAAACAATATCTAGACAGGACCCTCTCTGTGGCCGATAACCAGCTCAGCAAAGACTAAAGTCCAGGAAAAGCTTCTTTAGGTGGATGGAAGACTTTGAAGAATTTAAAGCAGGGTGACTTATGGAATGCTACAAAGAAGTAATACTGGATGGGACCAATGGAGGAACTGGCACCTGGGTCTGACAAAATCTGAGAAGTATGGAAACCATTGAGTAGACTGTGCATGGGTACAACAAGATCCAGAAACACTCTGAACAAATGGGGATATCCAGTTGCTTCTATTCTTTGTAGTTGTGTTGACATTCAGACAAGAAAACATATGTATGCCTGCCCTTTGTGCCCTGATCAATGTATGTTTCAGGACCTCATGGCAGCATGATGGAACACAATCAATGTTGCTAATTTCTAGGCAAGGTCTATTTAATTCGTACATGATTTAACCTTTTATTTTTAAATGTTTTGCCCTATTTTAACTGTGATGCTACCCACATGAATAAACCAACAGCAAGGCTGGAGAGGCTTCAGGGAGAGAATATAATTCTCTTTCTGAGGTTCATTGTTATGGAATAGTTTGCCTCTAAGTAAGCTTTCCAAGTATTGAAATCTGGACTGAACACAATGTGACTGGGCCGTACCTGGTTAAACCTGCTTGGCCATACAATATCGTCTTCATAAATGGTGACCATTTTTTCATTGGAGTCCTTGAGGTCCATGTCTCCAACTTGGACTTTCTTAAAAGACAAATTTGAAAATGTGATCCAATTGATAATATCAAATCCAGTCTCTAATTCTCCATTTTCATTGAACCCAATTTTTTGTCCAGCACTATTATTAAATGATGTTCTTCTGATCATGTAGTTGAGCTAAATCAGAAAATAAGCCAAACAGAGATATAGATCAGGATGTACAACAGCACTCTTTCTCCCCTTTAAAGTATATAGACAGGAAATCCTTTCAAGGTTTGTATAACATGGAAGATAATAATAACTGCAATAATAAATTACATTACTGATTGTAACTATGATTACAGAATCTTCACAACACCAGAATGAAACAGAAGAAATAAAATAAAATACTAGATCGGATTATTCAGCAATTTGAATCAGAGTAATTATTTCTAAAAGATTTTTGAAAAAATAATTGAGAAACAAGTTTATATTGAGGAGAGTATAAAAGAATATAAGGGGAAGAATGTTGCAGAAGGATTTAAAATTTATTTAAATATGTTAAATTTGTAATGATGAGGACCTCAATACATTTTAATAAAGTTTCTAGTACCGAAATGAAAACCGTCTCCATGGTTTTCTCCTAAAAGAAATTGAATTTTGAGTATGTTTTTTGATTTCAGAAACTTCTCCAAATGAGCAGGGTCAGTAAACATATAAGAAAAAACATATAAGGAAAAAAATAAATCACGTTTAGTCTTACTAAATTATTAATATCCAGGTGTTTGAAAGGAAAAGCAAAGTTTTTATAACTAACTTTAGGACCCAGATTGTTGGGAGCAATATGCTGACTCTGTAAACCGCTTAGAGAAGGCTGTAAAGGACTGTGAAACAGTATATAAGTCTAAGTGCTATTGCTATTTAGTTTATAGAAACTTTTTTGTTACATATGGATATATCAATGGTATACTGTATTTTACATTTACTTGGTCTTAGACTGTGAAAAAGTAAATAGCTAACTTTATATTTACCAAAACTTCTCAGTTTCACCTAAATTGGAAAAATGAATCCCTGGAAGAATGTTTATTTATTTATTTTTTCTGAAATCTAGTAGGAAGATAAAATGAGAGATCTGTAATTTGTCTTTTGGGGGATTTTACCTTCCATAGATGTTGATTCAAAAATTTCCCCTTGATTTTCCTCCCTTCTCTGTATTTCATTATAGATGAATAGAAGTCATGTAAAGCATGTGCCACCACGTAGATAGCATTGTACACACTGTAGCTGTGGCCACTCATTTCCATTTCAAAGACAGAGGTAGGAAGAATCTCCAGTTTCTCCTTTCCAGTACAAGTGGCCCCATTTGCCTTTTGTGTTACAGAGGGTCGGAAGGAACATTCAAAGGCATTTTCCCAGAAGATCTTGATAAAACTGTCTTCCTTTTCCAAGATAGGGTTTCTCATCTGAACAAATTGCTGGAATCCCAGTACCTTCTCTGAGTGAATTGCAAAAGATAAAGCACCATGAAGGAACACGAGATCCTTATTTCTGTGAAAGGGATTTGATGTGAAATCCATCTGGATTGTCATAATCCAGACTTTCCCTTTTGTCCATAGTGGTAAATCATTGTCTTTCAAATGACTGGAAATAACCCTTAGAGTTATCATGTTACCACTTTCACCGTGAACTACCACTGCAGTGACATTACTTTTCATAACAAATCTGTACATGTTAAGTCCTATTTCGGCCATCTTTTTCAGATTATTTGATTCAGCAGGGTTGGGAAATCTTGCAACGAAGTCAAAGCAGATGCCACTCTGGGTAGCCATGGGAAGCACCCTGCGCAGAAACATTTCACCACTCTCGTTGTCTACTAGCAACATCCCAACCCATGTCCACATGAAATATAGCAATAATTGAGAAATTGCCTTATACTGACTATCCATATTTGGCAACATTTGTTGGTAAAAAGCAGCTTGGTCTTTTGTGCTAATTTCAGGAGCAGAACCATACAATATCTAGAAACAAAGAGATAATAAAATAAAACATATGAAGAACGGTTGCAGGAATTGGGTATGTCTAGTTTAATGAAAAGAAGGACTAGGGGAGACACTATAGCAGTGTTCCAATATCTCAGGGGCTGCCACAAAGAAGAGGGAGTCAAGCTATTTTCCAAAGCACCTGAGGGCAGGACAAGAAGCAATGGGTGGAAACTAATCAAGGAGAGAAGCATCCTAGAACTAAGGAGAAATTTCCTGACAGTTAGAAGAATTAACCAGTGGAACAACTTGCCTCCAGAAGTTGTGAATGCTCCATACTGGAAGTTTTTAAGAGGATTTTGGATAACCATTTTTCTGAAGTGGTGTAGGCTTAAGCAGGGAGTTGGACTAGAAGACCACTAAGGTCCCTTCCAACCATCCCATCCCATCCCATCCCATCCCATCCCATCCCATCCCATCCCATCCCTTCCCTTCCCATCCCATCCTGCCCTATCCTATCCTATCCTATCCTATCCTATCCTATCCTATCCTATCCTATCCTATCCTATCCTATCCTTTCTTTTCCTTTCCTATCCTATCTAATAAGGAAAAAAAAATCACTGTAAAATAACAAGCTGATGTGCAATCAGATTCTTTCCCTATTTTGTCCATTAAGTTAGAAACTAAAGCCGAATTCCATGTACGTTTCATGTTCATATTCAAGATGAGCTAATTGAGCAGGAATGTTTAGCTTTTCTCATGACTTAAGTAAATAAGTTCAATCAGCAGATCTCCATCTGTGCATGGAGATTGCTATGCCATCACTTCTAAGGCTGAGCTGCATCAGCAAAATAGTTCAGTGGTTCAGAGTTGGATTAGAACACCAGTTCACAATTTAGAGATGAATCATATCATGTTAGGTTACCATAGAACAACTTACAGAATAAACTCCATGTCTGGGATTTCCAATATCATATCTCAAGACATGAGATTTAGTCCAGAGAGCACAAACTGTATCACTTAAATATTTAAGTAATGCGATTTGTACACTCCAAATTAAATATCATTAAGATAAATATTAATTTACAATATATTACTTAATTGGTAAAAAAAGATTATCCAGTTGTTTTCAATACTATTGATGCAATATTTCAAGATAATTTCATATTATTTCCAAGGAGAACTTTACCGGGCCAGAGAGAAACTGAAACAAAATCAATACTAAGTCCTAAAAAATATCCCAAATACTAGGATGGGTGGACCTTGATGGGTGGACTTTGGAGAATAATGATTTTGCTGAAAAATATAGCATAATATAACTGTATTATCATTACAATCATATTTTAAGTGAAGTTTGAAAAGTATAACCTACAAGGTTATACAAGTGTTCCCAGACCCAGTTTGCAATTCTGATCATGCTCCACCATGTGTTTAGCAACTCCTTCTCTGAAATAATCAATAAAATATACATTACTTTTGGGCAATGTATAATATCCCCATTTCCTAGTACTTGAAACATCAAAATGCTGAAGAATTAAGGTGCTGTTGCATAATAAAACACTCCAAAATTTCCTAAAATATACCCTTTTTATTACAATCACAATATTTCTTTTGTTGAAGATTTTTACAGAAAAAATATTGTATGGATTTTTATCTCCTGCCTCTTAATTCCAAGGAAACAACATACCTGTGGCATCTTGTAAAGGGAAAGGATATTAGCCATGTATAGATAGATGTCAGAGGAAGGTCCTCCAATGACTGCTATTGGTCTGTTTTGTGCATCACAGTTGTAGTTAGGTATGAATTGGCCCTTTGTAAAGAAGAGCTCCAATGAGGCACGGTATGTCCAACTGGGATCAAAGTAGGTATTATAGATATGGAACCCCAAGGTATGGTTTGGTAAAATAGAGGTATCCCTATTGATTTCCATGATGGCAAACTCTAAAGCGAGGATGTGCTGATACATTGGAGTTATGACCCTAAAATAAGCATTATATATTGTCAAAATACATACTTCCCAAAATATCATAGACGGTATAGGCCAACTCAGTTTAATGATTGTAACGTCTATCTAACCCATTTTTGTCTGTCTGTCTGTCTGTCTGTCTGTCTGTCTATCTATCTATCTATCTATCTATCTATCTATCTATCATCTATCCATCCATCCATCCATCCATCCATCATCCATCCATCCATCCATCATCTAATATTTATAATCCATTGTCCATCTATATATTTTCCTACCGTACATACAAATACTCTCCCTCTCAACCCTCCCTCTCTCCTCTCTCTGCTCTATATCCTTTTCTTCTTTCTCTTTTCTTGTAAAAAGAGAATTTCTGTAAAAATCTTACACAGCAGTGCCAAAAGGCTCCTTAGATGGATGTCTCCTGAAGTCTTTCGGTCTATAGAGGATGTAGATCTGAGAGAAAATGCCCACAATTATGAAATCTCCTGACTGATATTGTTTGTGAAGAAAAGGCAGAGGGTCATTAGTCCTACATTTAGCACTGGGAATCATGGACATTATTTCAGGCAAAAGCAGAAAGACCAAGGCTGCAAGTATCATCATAATGTGTAAAAGTGTCTTATCGTAAGCCAGTTGAAGTTTCCCCAAGCTCTGCCTCATTAAGTGTATTTATACTTGCACTTGTCTCCACAACAAGTTCTTGCCCACTCGGAGATGAAGTTGAAACAATGATGTGGGAATTGATAATGACAACTGAAAGATCAACAATTCAGAATTCAAGACCTAGGAAACCATGGCATATAAACAATTGTACACCAGCCTGTAATTGCTGAAAGCAATGAAAACTAAAAAGAAATACAGAACTTTTCCCCATTTGTATGAAAACAGGAAAAAAAGTTTTTCTAGTTTTAAAACAGTGGACGTTTATACCACATTGACATTTGATGCCAGTCAGATTTGGATGTCTGTCTATCTTTCTGTCTGTCTGTCTGTCTTTCTGCCTGCCTGCCTGCCTACCTGTCTATATGCTTTTAGTTGTACCCAAAACTGAATCGGTAATCAGTATAGGTGCTGTCAAATTGCCATTATACATCATAACGTTAGAATTCCATTATCTCAAAGACTACAGCATTTTGGATTAGGTGTGACTTTGGAGTAGTCTTTAAATGCTGTCCCATGTCAAATGCATAGAATTGTGTGTGTGGCCAGCTTCACCAGCATCAGATAAAGCAACAGTTGGTGCACCAGTCCTCTAGTCATGGCTTCAACCTACATTTCAAGTAGTAACTGTGAGTCCCTAATGAATCCCAAATGGCAAATATGTTCTTTCTTTACCCATCCAGAGATGGTAGTGGTATTGATGGAGAACCTCAACATACAAATATCAAATCTATCTTCCTTAGCTTCAGTTCTCTCTTGTCCTGACCTTTACAGGCATCAGTGTTCTACATGATAGAACACTGATAGCTTCTCCCTTAAGCCTATGAGATGGTATTAAATTGGGAATCATCAGCAACTCAAATATCAAATGCTATCTCCCGGAAGGGTCATATAGTTGAAAAAGAATAGGAGGAAAATGATCAATTCCTCTAATAAGCCAATTGTAATCTGTCTGGAATCAATTTTCTGTCAAATTTACCCCAAGTTTTCAACAAACTATTTAACAAATCATTTCTAACTTTAATTTTTTCCGCTATATTCTCCATAAAATATATTCTTCCCCATTTTTCAATTTCTCCCAACTCCGATTTTCCCCATAATTCGTTTCGACCAACAATTATTTTAACTACAGTCCTCACTTGAAAGGCTCTATAATAATTAATCAATTTAGGTATCCCAAGACCTCCTTCCTTTTGATTTTGATACCATAATTTTTTAACTATCCTAGACCTTTTATCACCATTACAAAATTTGTCAATTTTCTTTTGATATAATTCCATATCCTTTTCAGAGATATATATTGGGAGCATTTCAAATAGGAAATTGAATTTCGGTAATAACATCATTTTACTTAATGCCACTCTCCCAAACCAAGAGAAATTTAATTTCTTATACTTCCCGATTTTCTCATCAATTTCTCTTATCAGTCTGTCATAATTCAACTTTTTCATTTCATTCATCTTTGTTGATAATATTATTCCTAAATATCTTATATTTTCTTTAACTTTTATTCCAAATTGATTTATAAATTTCTCTTTTCCTTTTTTTATATCCCAATTTAATAACATTTCTGATTTAGCCCAATTTATAGATAACCCAGTAAGCTCTTCAAATTCCTCTAAATGCATCTTAATCTTTTCAATATCTTTTTCTGGATTTTTCATTACAATCAGGGTGTCATCGGCATACAAATTAATTTTAACACCTTTATATCCAATAATATCTTCATCTTCTTCTATTTTTACTGCTAAGATCTCCATAGCTAGTAAAAACAATACTGGGGATAGAGGACAACCTTGTCTTGTACCTGCTTCCAAAATTATCTCTTTTGTTATGATCCCATTCACTTTTACTCTGGCAACCCCCTTTTGATATAATTTTGAAATAACTTGAGTAAATTTATCTCCAAATCCATAAGCCTTAATCAATTCTATAATCGTTTCCCATTGAATTGAATCAAATGCTTTAAATATATCCAACGCTAATATTCCTATTCTATCCTTATTATACTCTGCAATATTTATAATATTCAAAACTCTCCTAACTATGTCTGACATATATCTACCTTTCACAAAACCTACTTGATTACCATTTATATATTTGTCTATAAAGCTATTGATTAAATTTAATCTATCTATTAATCTTTAATCTATTCGCTAAAATAGCTGTAAATATTTTTGCATCCTGATTTATTAGGGAAATAGGTCTATATGATTCTACCAATTCTAAATCTTTTCCTGGTTTGGGAATCAAAGAAATCAGTGATCTATTCCAAGACGCTGGAATATCCACGCCATGCAAAATTTTGTTATACAATTTTTCTAATTTTGGCACTATTATGTCTTTAAATTCCTTATAAAATTCTGCTGGCAACCCATCCTCACCTGGTACCTTCCCCAATTTAAATTTTGGGATCATTTCTATAATTTCTTGCTGGGTTATACTTCCCTCCATTTTTTCCTTATATTCCATTTCTATTTTTCTATGTTCATATTTTTTCAAAAAGTCCTTCAATTTCTTACTATCTATTTCCTTTTTAGAGTAAAGTTTTTGAAAAAAATTTCTAACAATCTCACATTTATCTTTTTTCTTATTACATCTTTTACCTTTTTCATCTATTAATATTCCAATTTCTGTTCTACATTTCTTATCTTTAGCCATCCTTGCCAATAATTTAGAGTTCTTATTACCAAATTCAAAAAATTCTCTTTTCAAATACATTAAATTCTTTTTAACAACTTCAATATCTTCAATTACCTGCTTATCTTTTAATTGTCTCAATTCTTCCCCAATTTTTTTATTTTTAGTTCTTGAAAATTCGTTTTCTAATTCTTGTATTCTTTTCCCTTCCATTTCTATTTTTTTATAATCTTTATATTTTTTACATGACAATTGTATACTTTCACCCTGAAAAATCGCCTTCATTGTATCCCATACCACATTATAATTCACTTCATCATTATCATTCCATTTCCAATTTTCCTCCCAAATTTTAATCATTCTTTTTTTGTCTTCTTCATTTTTATACAATTTAGCATCATACCTCCAATTATTTTCTTTTTTCTCAATATATACATTCAACTCCATAATTACATTTGCATGATCTGATTCTTTAAATATCCCTACATCAACTTTTCCAACTCTATTAAGTAAATCTCTTGACACCATAATATAATCAATCCTTGAATATGTATTATATACCTTAGAATGGAAAGTATAAACCTTTTCTTGACCTTTAATTTCCCGCCATGTATCAAATATTCAAATTTTCTATCATCCAATTATCTAAGATCCTCATTTGAACATTATCACCATACCGGGTTACATTAGTAGTATCATATTTATTTCGAATAAGATTGAAGTCACCTGCCACAATCAGTCTGCCCTTACTTTCTTTCCGCAGTATTTTTGATATTCTCATCAGGAATTCATTTTGTTTTTCATTAGGTGCGTAAATATTAACCAACGTTACAGTTTCTTCATTAATATTACCAACAATTATCAAATATCTACCTTCGGAGTCCACTACACTTTTTAATTTTTCAAATTGAACTCTACTTGAAATTAAAGTTGCGACCCCTCTCAATTTCGAGGTTCCAAATGCTTTCTCATAAAACCGTATTCCTTTTATATACAACTTATTTGAATCCTCGGACTTTTGATGAGTCTCTTGCAAAAAGATTATATCAGGTGACTGCCTTCCCATTTTTAATTCTAAACATTTTCTTTTAATTTGATTCCCAGTGCCTTTAACATTCCATGACATAATTTTAATCACACCCATCATTATATTCAATATTTTCCATTTCTTCCTCCTCCTCCCTACTGTGAATCTTTCCCCAACCCACCACCAATAACAAATTAAAAAAAAACAACAATTTTTCTTCTTCCCCCATCGCATTCATTCAATTCCAGCCGCCTTGTCTTCCAAGAATGGGGGAGAGCGAATGTGTCTGTCAACCCAGCCATCTCTAGCTCCAGGCATTGTTCTTATGCTTCTTTATGCTTTCTTTACTCTATTAATATTACTCTATTACTTCTTTTCCACACTCAGATCCATCACTTGAGTTGGGCCCAGAACCAAGTTGATCTTCCATTTCACTTTCTTCACCAACATTTTCTCCTCCATTTTCTCTACTTTTTTTTTTTTTTTGAAAATCCAACCGCTCTTTTGTTGGTTTTCTTTCATGTTGTAGTTTAGCTTTAAGTTCTGGGCCCTCTCCAGCTACAGCTCCTTGTTCCTTATCCAGATTTAATTCCTTCCTCACTCCATATCCACCCATCTGAAGCAGTTCAGCTTTCATACTAATAACATCATCTTCTTTCTCAATCAGCCCAAGTTTATGAAAATAATCAACAGGATCAATTTTAGTATCAATTGTATGCATTCTTCTATTATAAATTTTTTTTAATTGTTGTGGGAATCTCCAATTATATTTAATGCCTTTATTTCTCAATAATTTTGTAATTGGCTTTAAAGTGTGCCTCCATATACGTTCCTCCCGAGAAATATCCTGGTAAACCTCTATCTTGTCCCCTTCTATTTGAAGAATCTTATCTCCATCCTCTCTAATTTTTGACATCACTTTCAATTTATCATTTATACTTGCAAATTTAACCAGAACATTTCTCTTCTTTCCTTTATTACGTCTCATTCCAATTCTGAAGACACTTATTAAATCCTCCACCGTCATCATTTTGTCCATTCCAATTGAGTTTAGCCAGTCCAGTACTCTCTTTCGTATATTATCCACAGTTTGTTCAGAAATTCCTCGTACGACCAGATTGGCTTTCCTTACTCCTTCCTCCAATAGGCATAATCTCTTATCTTGTTGACAATATTTATAAACAAGATCCCCAATTTTCCATCCATTTTTTTAGTATGTATTTGCAATTGATCAATGTCATCTTTTATCATAGCTGTCTCTGCTGCATATTTTGCAAAGTTATCATTAATTTCACCCATAAATTTTTTATATGTTTCTACATTTTGAGCTTTAATCTGTTCCAATTGTTTAGCTCTTTCTTTCTTTTCCTCCTCCATTCTTTTATTTAATCCTTCATCCATTATATTTAATCTTTCAGTAATTTTATTGAGAGCCAATACTATTTGTGCCATATCAGTTGCCATCTGGGCTGAAGATTTTATACTCATATAATCAGTAATCAATAGTCAATAATCAAATTTTATTTGCTTAGAGGGTCTAACAAGGGATCATGTGCTGCTTTCCAATTTTGTATAAAAAGTCTGAGATAGATTAAAATATTGGAAAAAGATAATCTGAGTCCATCTTTTCCTATAAGTGGTTAAAGAAGAGAAGTTTTCTTTTCTTCTTTTTTTTTTTTTTTTAGAAAAATGAAGAATTTGGGCACTGATTCCATGCAGGACCTGATAAAGGTCCTTCAGTAGAATAACCAATAATCTCAGGCTAATATATGGGCTATTAATTGACTGAAAAGTGTCTAGATCAGTGTTAGTGAACCCGAGTGGTAAAATGGGAGCTCGCGCACATACGGGGGAGTGCCAGAAACTAGAGAAGCAGCTCCCAGGCACGCATGCGCAGGAGTGCTACAAACCAGAAGAGCTGAGCTTCTGGTTTCCAGCGTGCACATGCACCCTGGTCACCTGGTCTTCCGGTTTCTGTCATACATGTGCACGTAAAGATCAGCTGGCCGGTGCCTGTGTGTTCCCCGGAAACAAGAAGAGCAACGGGCGATGGCTGGTGTGCCCGGAGAGATGGCTCTGATTGCCACTTCCGGCATGCGTGCCATAGGTTCACCATCACAGGTCTAGATAATCAGTGTTTTTGTATGTGCTACAATGGTCTCAACAAGTTTTTCTCAAAAAAGAAAAGGTCAGAAATTGGCTAGTTTACATCTTTTTAGGGTAGAACAAATGATTTCTTCATGTATCAAAGTGCCTCATGGAAATTCTTAATGTCATTTATCTTGCTTAAACTTGCTTCTCGGTTGTTATTATTATAATAAACACATGCCGTTATTTACACAGGTGTTATTCTACATTAATAAAAGTTTGAATCCAATGGAAAATGTCAGTCAGATTTAATCTTAACTCATTTTCAGTAAATATCATGAAATAAGCCCATGAGAGTTCAATAGTGCTTTCATGAAGTTGGATTTTGATTTATCACATTTATATGGCCACATATACTACATCATGTGGATGCCACAAAAACAACTTTAAAAAACATTCAAGAAGTAAAAAAAAAATAATATTATGAAAGGCTACGAGAGGGCATCACATGAATAATGGAGACACCTGATCCAATTGCCTCTTTATTGTGACCTCCCAAGTCCGTTGATAAAGGATTCCACAAAATTGGCAAAGAACAGAACAGAATATTTTATTGGCCAAGTGTGATTGGAATTTGTCTCTGGTGCATAAGCTCTCAGTGTATACACAAATTACAAACATACAGTAAACATACAATGTACATACAAACATAAGCTCTCAGTGTACAGTGCATAAGCTTTCAGTGTATATACAAACAGCAAAGCAATAAATCATAATAATAAATCATAAGATACAATCATAAATCATAAGATGCAAAGAACAAAGTGATAAATCATAAATTACCAATAGGATAAGGTAATAGAAGGAAAGATGGGGTAAGATAAGAAAAATGGGAACACTCTCAACTGGGGGTGGGGAGATTCTACATGATAGGTCAGTGATGGCTAACCTATTCCAGACTGAGTGCCCAAAGCGTGTGCCTGAACCCAGAAAATGCAATGTGCCATGTATGTGCCCTGCCCCCGTGCGTGCTCTCCCTACATTTGCCCCACCCATGCACGTGCCACGCCCCCATGCGTACACACCCTGCATGCACCCCCATGCATGTGCACATTGCCCCCCGCATGTGCTCCACCCCTGCCCATGCGCGGCAAAGACCAAAAGACCAGATGGCTAGTGGGAAGCACGCAGGCATGCACAGTACAGCTAAACTGGGGCGACAGCTCGCATGCCATCAGAGAGGGAGCTGCATGGCACCTCTGGCATGTGTGCCATAGGTTCGCCATCACGGTGATAGGTGCTATGGCAGAAAAGACTTGTAATTCCTTAGCCAAACAGACCCACATATCTCTTCTGCTAGATCTGATAGGATGGGCAGATGTTAAACCTGGAAGAGGCAATTCTTCAAATATTCCAGCCCCATGTCCAGAAATTAATGGGTATAGGATTGTAAACCAATGATCAAATGAAGAATAAATGAAGCATCATGAAATTTTATATACTGTTATTGCTTTTTCTGTGTTAGATGCTCTTTTTTGTTCAGATTAGGTCTCAATAAAATTATGTAGCATTTGGGGAAAAAGATGCAACTTAGTAACCCAGCACTGGAGGTTATAATAGAGAAGATCTCTACAACAACCAAGTATTTCCCTTTTGTGCTCAGGTACGTGGGAATGAAGGACAGCCACACACTGCAGAAGGCCAACATGCTGAAGGTAATAAACTTGGCTTCATTGAAAGTGTCAGGCAATTTTCTTGCTAAGAAAGCCACTATGAAACTGACCATGGCAAGGAAACCCATAAAGCTCAAGACACAGTAGAACATGGAGACTGATCCTTCATTACATTCCAAGATGATTTCTTCTGTTATTGAATTCATGTCATCATCTGGGAATGGGGAGGAGGTTGTCAACCATGTAATACAAATCATGACTTGAATAAAAGAGCAACAAAATACGATGGACATGCCTAGTCTTTTCCCCACCCATTTGGTCATCTTTGAGCCTGGCTTGGTAGCCATGAAAGCTACAACTACAATGATGGTCTTAGCCAGAATGCAAGAGATGGCTACTGAGAAGATGATGCCAAATGCCATTTGACGAAGAACACATGTCACCTTGGAAGGTTGGCCAATAAATAGCAAGGTTGATAGGAAAGACAACATAAGAGCAACAAGGAGAATATAGGTAAGATTCCGGTTGTTAGCTTTAACTAGTGGAGTATCCGTGTGTTTAATAAAGATCCCCAGGACTGCACCTGTGATGAAAAAACAGAATAGAGCAAAACTGGCCAAAACACTTCCTCCAATTTCTTCATACATCAAGAAGGTTATAACTTTATTGATACACAAATCCTGATTCTTGTTTGGGTACTGATTTTCCGGACATTCAACACATTCATTCATATCTAGAAAAAATAATAATAATGAGGTCAAGATGTTAAATTCCTGAAATTCCATTGAAATCATCAAAAGAAATTGAAATGTTTGCCAGTTATATTTTGCCCATTTATATTTTCTCTGGAAGCTTTCAGATTCGGGTTTTCCCAGATTTGCCAATATGACATCTTTAACAAAATGGAACTTTGAGGGACTTCAAGCCTCGGAGTCTCCTTTCATTGGGGGTGTTATTTGGAACCCTGACATGTCCAACATTTTGTGACCAGCAATGGCCAATTGGTTATTCTCTGTAAATATGATACTTAGTATTTTAGTTCATATAAATTAAAACTATGTATGTAATTTTTTTTTCCTGAAGGAAAAAAAAATGAAACACTGGAATTGAAATGAAGAACAGAAAAAGTGAGTTTATCTATGAAAACTAAAATCATAAAAATAAAAAAGAGGATCACTTCATGATTATGGATGATATGAATTTTGGGATCTTAGTCAAGAAAATATATTTCTTTCCTCAATATAGATAGGTAGATAGATATATGATAGATAGGTGATAGATAAATAGATAGATAAATAGGTAGATAGATAGATAGATAGATAGATAGATAGATAGATAGACAGACAGACAGACAGACAGACAGACAGACAGACAGACAGACAGACAGGATGGTGATGGATAAACCATATGAATAGTGGTGGTTGTTCTTACTGTTTTCTTTTTATTCCTAAAACAACAAGTTTTTATTTATTTATTTATGTTTTTACCCTGTAGGACACCTATTGAGGCTAAACAATAGATGTACAACCATTCAAATACTTGATGTTTTGAATTGAAAAAGCAAGGATATCAATGCATTTTGTTTTTACAACATCTATTAGCTTTACAAATGAGATTTCTTACCTTCCTTGTCAGCCATTTTCCCATCTGGACATCGAAGGCAATCATAGCAGCAAAATGGCTTCCCTTCTATCTTTTTCTTACTGGAGCCTAAAGGGCACTTGTTATTGCACTGAGAAAGTGGCTGAGCCTGTAGGTAATGAAAAGAGAGACTCTAAACAATGACATTTCTCTAAACAACGGCAAAAAAAATGTTATGTATCTCTTCATTATATACATTATGTATATGATGTTTGAGAATTATAACATGTAGAGGTTGTGTCCCATTTGTTTAATGAAGGAATCACTCAGGGGTGGGCTTCAAAAATTTTAGCAACGGGTTCTCTGCCCAGTTGCTGGATGGGTGTGGCCATGGTGGGCATTGCCTAGTCAGCCTCCTGCACCATGGCTGGGGGGGCATTTTTGCCCTCCCCGGGCTCTGGAGTCTTTCAAGCCTCCAGGAGGGGGAAAACAGTCTCCACAGGCTCTGGAGGCCCTCTGGAGGCTGAAAACGGGCACATTTCTAGCCTTCCCGAACTTCTGGTAGGCCCATTTTTCATCGTTCCAGAACCTCCACGCGTGCCCTGCACTTACCTGAATCCAAAATGGGCTGTGTGGGGACTCCTGGGAGGGGTGGGGTGGGCAGGGCTAGCCAGGAGTGGGATTTGGGAGTTCTCTGAACTGCACAGAATCTTAGCTAGAGGTTTTCCCAAACCCTGGGAACCCCCAGCAGCCCACCCCTAGATTCACTGGATAGTAATGTTTCATCTATTTATTTATTATTTATTATTCGAATTTCTATACCGCCCTTCTCCTTTCGGACTCAGGGCGGAACAGTAATCTACTATTACCGTTCACTTACTCTATGTAATTCTTATTCTCGGGTGATAAGAATACAACTGTTACATAAATACACATTGCAGAATCTTTTTTTAAAACAACTTTTTAAAAATTTATTTCCAAAGTTAAAATACACATTGCAAAATCTATGTGAATATTTAGGCATATCTGGCATTTGTGCCTCTTGTGGGAATCAATATCATATTTTCTTCATACCAGATCTAAAGAAAACCTAAAATCATGTTTCTTTTCTCATGTATTCCCATACACTAGGACATATTCAACATGTAAGCAAGAGGAAACATGTCTTAATGCCAGCCACATCACATTGACAATATTTGAAAGAGAGGGGAAGAGAAATTGAATTGATAGTAAGATATAGTTGGAAGATAGTTAGACCATACCTGGTTAAATCTCTGTGGCCATACAATATTAGCCTTATCAATGGTAAGCATCTCTTCTTGGGAATCCATCAGGTCTATCCTTCCAACTTTGACTCTCTGGAAAGACTGGTTTGGAAAAGTGATCCAATTTATAATATCAAACCCCACTTCCAACTCTCCATACTGATTGAAAGAAATTTTTTCTCCTGCGCTATTGTTGAATGAGATTCTTCTCATAAAGTAGTTGAACTTAATTGCAAAGTAAAATAAATGGAGTACAGTAATTATTTATTTAGTATAAATAAAGCATAAAATAGCATAAATTTAGCATAAATAGCAGATGAGAATAAGACAGACAAGTAAATGTATACATGCAATTGGAACATTGATTACGTGCCATGGGTTTAATCTTTGTACCCCACTCAGAGTCACTCTTGTGAGATGCACAGCTCTACAAATAATTGAAATCAGTACATTGAATCATTATTGCAGTTTAGCAGCCACACTGATAGACTTAATCCACAAACCACCAGGAACGTTAGTAATCACGGTAAATGTAGTCATGTAAGGTTCCCTGAAGATTAATAGATTGCCAAATTGTGCACAGTTTTGGGTATAATTATATCAAAACACTGAAATAGACAACAGATGCTCCAGATAAATGGATGGATCAGACTATCAGCTAGTTTATTACATCTTTTCTGACAAAAAAGTTAAGACAAATGTGTTAGAAGACAAAGGAAGTACTGTGAGATAAGTGAACAGTTTGGAATTCAGATACTTCATATTCTTGGAGAAATCTAAGGTCTATTACAATACAAGCAGATACTGTGTGGTGAGCCCTCTGCTCTTTGTTTGATCAAGGCAGTACCTTCCAGAGTGGCTGTTCTAGAAGCTTCTGCTTGGCTTCCTGCTCTACTGTTCTGTGTTTAGAAAGAAATGACTGGAAGTCATGTAATGTATGTGCTACGACATAGACTGCATTGTAGACACTGTAGCTGTGGCCGGTCATGTCCATTTCAAAGACAGGTGAAGGAAGACTGTTAAGTTTTTCTTCTCCCGTGCAGATAGTCTTATCTTCTTCATCCATTATGGACTTGGAGAATGAACATTCAAATGCATTTTCCCAGAAAAGCCTAATAAAACTTCCTTCTTTTTCCAAGGCAGACTTATCTGAAGAACTCATCTGAAGAAATTTCTGGAATCTTACTACTTCCTTTGAGTGAATTGAAAAGGACAGGGCACCATGGAGAAAATTCATGTCCTCATTTCTCTGAAAGGGCAGTGAAGTAAAATCCATCAGTGTTGCTATAACCCACACTTTGATTCTATTCCATAGTGGCTTTCCTTCATGTTTGGATAAACTGGGAAACAATCTCAGAAGAATCATGTGTTCAATTTCACAAAACACCATCACTACATTTACTGTGCTTCCCATAACAACATTGTACATTTCTAACCCAGATTCCACAGCAGATAGAATATTATTGGAATAAGTTATTTCTGGGAATCTTTCACTGAAAGCAAAGCAGATGCCATTCTGAGAAAACATGGGAGTTATATCCTGTATAAATTTTTCACCATAATCATTATTTGAATATAACACCCCAATCCAAGCCCATCTGAAATAGAGCAAGACCTGGAGAATTCCTTTGTACTGATGGCCCACGTTTGGGAACATCTGTTGGTATATGGGGGCCTGTGTTTTTGCATTAATCTCTGGAGTTGAGCCATAGATGAGCTGAAGAAAACAAAGGGAAAGGAGGAAAAAATGGGATTGCATTTGGTGACATTTACTCATAACTGAATGGACCAAAACTAGAATTTAAGAACCAATGGCTTTGAAATTTCAAGTCCATGTTTCATATATGAATTAATGAAATGGTAAAAGAAATCTCAACATTGCTTTCAGGTTTATAGTTCAGTAGCTGTAAAAGGGTGAAAGACTTGGAATTCAGCAACAGAGTGGTCAACGCCTGGAATGCTCTATCCGACTCCGTTGTTACATCCTTAAACCCCCACAGCTTCAATCTTAAACTGTCTACTGTGGACCTCACCCCATTCCTAAGAGGTCCGTAAAGGGAGCGTGCATAAGCACCCCAGCGTGCCTATCATCCCTGTCCTACTGTCCCCATTTGTTTTCATTTCCTTCATTCATGTCCATGTTCATGTTCATACCTGCTATCTTGTACATGTTTGACAAACTAATAAATAAATAAATTAAATAAATAAATTGCATTATATTTTGGGGAAAATTAGCTTCAGAAATGCACCAGCAATAAATCCATTACATTGCATGCATATTATATTTGATGGAGGTGATGTATCTCACAATATAGAATAATCCTGCAATATCTCTGAAAACATAGTATCCTGCAATATCTCTGAGAACATAGTATCTTCTGAGGAGGCAGATTATGCTGGATATGTTGTCAAGCTCAAAATCCTTATCTTTCAAATCTGGGACTCTTTTGCCTATTTTTCAATCCATTCTTCATTTATTCCAGACATTGTTTTTGTGTGCGTGAGATTACAAATGAACTGATCCTAAACTAATGTTTTAGTTCTTTCTGGGTCTAAATTCTACGTTATGAAAATATTTTATGTTTTTATTACTTTTTCAAAGAAATGTTGTCCATCTACTTGAAGTATAAGTTTTGATATATTTTATCTGTCAGTCCTGGAAGCCATCTTTTCTGTTGGAGCTTCAGGGCTGCAACATTTAGTGCCTGGAAACATGGGAGGGGGGGATTGCAAGGAGTTGGTGGAGGATTAGCCATAACAACATCCTTTTCTATGGGAGTCAAGGACACTCAGCCTGCACCTGGATGGGAGTGATGGGGGATTGTCTCCAGTTGGGATGTTGAAATGATTGAACCATGTGTTGGAGTTGTGGGTGCAGGGGATGGATCTTTGGGTGATTGTCTCTAATTGGGACGTTGAAATGATTGGACCATGTGACGGACTTGTGGGTGCAGGGGATGGATCTTTGACTTTATTTTGGGTGGGGAAAACCTGGAACTCTCAGATTTGGGTTTTTTCAAATGTGCCAATATGATACCTCTAATAAAATGAAACTTTGAGGAATTGCTAGCCTCGGAATCTTCTTTCGTTAAGGTTGTTATTTGGAACCTGAACATTATAGTTATATTTTGCTCTGGTTATACTATCCCATAGCTTTTTCTCTTCAGCTGGATAATAAAACTTCAAAACTAGCAATAATAACATTGATAATGATGAGAAGGGGAGTGGAGGAGGGGGAGGGGGAGGGGGAAGGGGAGGAAGAAGAGGAGGAGGAGGAGGAGGAGGAGGAAGAGGAGGAGGAGGAGGAAAAGGAAAAATTCTTTGTTGAAAGATATGGATTGTAAAGTTCCATATTACATGGGTTAGTAAGTACATATATTTTTTCAGGGTTGAAATGCTCCCGGTTCGGACTGGATTGCCTGATCCGGTAGCAATTACGGTGGGTGGTTCGGAGAACCAGTAGCAAAAATCCCTGTTCCCCGCCCCCCATGCCCAGCTGAGCCGTCATCAGAGGCTTTTTAAAATTATTTTTAAAAGCATTTTTTCTACAACCTCTTCGGCCTCTGATGATCCCAGCTGAGTTGCCTGATTGTCAGAGGCTTTTGAAAGCATTTTTTTACAACCTCTTCAGCCGAAGAGGTTGTAGAAAAAATGGTTTTAAAAGTTAAAAAAAAAAAGTTGGCCATGCCCACTCAGTCACATTACCCCCCCAAGCCACGCCCACAGAACCGGTAGTAACAAATTTTACATTTCACCACTGTATTTTTCAGCTTCCCATTCTAAGTGTTTGAGAATGATTAATTTAAAACCTATCTAGACTCTTTCCCTCAAGGAGAACTGTAACCTGGGTCTCCTCATTTCTACTTCAACATTTTTGCCATTGCATTACAATGACTCACTGTCTATTTATTTGTCTGTAAGACATGTATGGATCATGTATAAACATATACACATTACTTGTTCTGGTCATAAGATAATTAATTCCTGTACCATTAAAAACACACACATTAAAAAGGGATTCCATGTATGAATGCAACTCTTATAAAATGCTTATGTTCCATGAAAGTATGGTACCTGTGGTGTTTTGTAGAGAGACAGGATGGTTGCCATATGGGCCTGAACTGCAGGTGTCGGTCCTCCAATGACAGCTATCGGTCTGTTCTGCCGGTCACAGCTGTAGTTGGGAGTAAATCTGTTCTGAGCAGAAAATACTTCTAACGAGGCACGATAAATCCAAATTGTGGTAAAATAACTATTGTAGATATGGAAGCCCAGGGTATGATTAGGTAATATATGAGGATCTTCATTGATTTCCTTGACTGCAAATTGCAAAGCCAGGAACTGCTGAAAGAGAGGTGTCATGACCCTAAAAGAAGAATAAGTAAATACATGGATAATTCCATATTTAGAATATTTTAATTCAGCAAACTCCAAATGATTTTTATGAAAATGCATGACCATCAGCAATTATTTTCAAATTCAATCCAACTTCTCTTATATCTTTTTACACAATATTTGAAAAGTTTGATTAAGAGAATGGTTTCTTTTACTACCTAAGGAATTATTGTTTCGGCAGGGTTTACTCAGAAAAATAAGTGAAAAGAAACTGTTAAAAGATCAAGAAACACAGGAAACAGAAAGAATATCAGAAGAGACATTAGAGAAGGAGGAGGAGGAGGAGGAGGAGAAGGAGGAGGAGGAGGAGAAGGAGAAGGAGAAGGAGAAGGAGAAGGAGAAGGGGAAGGGGAAGGGGAAGGGGAAGAAGTAATAGTAGTCAAACCCAAGAAACATAAACATCTGAGGAAGGAACTTAACAAAAAGTTCCAGTGAGCTGTTTGATGAGACGAGCAATATTACAATGATATCTGTAAAGGCATCCATGACAGAAAGGGAATAGAAGACTTTGTAAAGATTTTCAAATGCAAAAGGAGATTCCAACCTCAAATGCCTATGCTAAATAGCACAAATGGACAGATAGTAAATACCGGTAGATTCAAGGACGATAAAAATAAAAAGATGGAAATAAGAAATTCTCTGTTGTAGAGATGACAGACTTCAAGATCCCTTAGAAGAAATTCATCACTTCCAAAACCTCTAGTAATAGGAGATAAATTTATATCAGTACTCTGGTCATTACAAACTGAAGATGGTACAAATTGAATTTATTGGGTATCTATGCAAATATGGCAAGCAACATAAGAAGGATCTATAAGGTTAAAACCAAACAATGCCAGGACACCCAAAGAATAACACAATCGGCAACAGATTGGAGATTTAAGAAAGGAGGCTTAAGAGAGTGTATAAACAATATATTTATTTTCATTTGCCAGCAAAATAATCCCTAGGATTATTCAATGCTGACTGGCATCCAACGTATAAAGGCAGATGCCAGATATTCAAGATGCTTTTGGAAAAGGCGGAGGAAATAACGATTGCTGATGCATCATAGATAAAGAAGAAACCCAACCCTCCACCAAAAAATGTCAGTATGTGATTCATTGATTATCCAAAGACATTTAATTGTGTTCACCATTTGAAGGTATGGAATATGTTTAGGCAACTAGGCATCCCCCAAAAAAGTTATTGTCATGCCAAAACTGAATATATAAGGAATCCCTAGTCTGGACAAGACATACATGTCCTGTATAAAATTAGAGGCTTGTATTACTTATGAAGAATACTGAAATAAACTTACAGAATTTCATCAAAAAGATTACTAGAGGGTGGTTCATTGAATTCCACCATGTTATAAAATATGTAGATCTTAGACAGAATGCCTACAATGTTGAGGTCTCCTGGTTTGTATTCCTTGTGAAGAAAAGGCAAAGGGTCACTGATGCTGCATTTAGAATTGGGAATCTTACATCCAACCTGACCCCAAATCATCAGACACATGGCTTCCAGCACCGTCACTCTGAACGTAGCAGTTCCTTTTTGAGATTCATCTCTCACAATCTTGGCCAGCATGCTACTAGTTGTTAGTGGCAAATAGTCAGATTCAGAAACATGATTGTAAATAGTTCAGAAACCTGATGATAAATAAATAAGAGCCGCAATGGCATAGTGGTTAGAGTGCAGTACTGCAGGCTACTTCTGCTGCCTGCTGGCTGCCTGCAATTTGGCAGTTCAAATCTCACCAGGCTCAAGGTTGACTTAGCCTTCCATCCTTCCGAGGTGGATAAAATGAGGACCCATATTGTTGGGGACGATATGCTGACTCTGTAAACCTCTTAGAGAGGGCTGTAAAGCACTGTGAAGCAGTATGTAAGTCTAAGTGCTATTGCTATCTCCAAGTTGAAATAGTGAAGGGAATGCTACTTTGTTCTTTCTCAGATACTTTTGCTTCATTGTGTGGCATTTCTGAGACAGTGATTCCTGTACAGACGTTCAGTGATTAGAGAAGGAATAGGTAGCTCAGGATTACAGATGAAATGAATTGCGAATGATGAAATCTCATGGTTTAATTCAATAGAAATATTGTTTATGTTTTTTTTCCAGTGGAGCAACAAGGAATAAAAGAGAAATGCCAGGCATCATGGTGGTTAGAAGAATTCTAGTGGGATTAGAATAGGCAGTTGAAATACGTGTTGGTAATTGTAGTGGTGAAAAGCCCATTTCAGAAATGTAGGTCCTAGGGAACCATAAGAAGATAATATATCATTCACATCTTCTCAGCCCTGGTTTTCTTCATCATAATAACAATTGTATAAGGAAGGTGCAATTACTAAGAACAATTCATGGACATTATTCCATTAGAATGTTAGAAAAAACAGCAAAAAAAAAAAAAAGTCTTATTAAGTCCCGAGTTTCACAATCTGCACATTAGAGAAAGATTAAGAGAAAATAAATCCCACCCTATCTCCATGTATTTGTGTTTATGTATTTGCATGTATGTTTGTGTCTGTGTGTCTGTGTGAATCTGTGTGCATATTTAGAGAAACCTGGAGATGCTTCAACTTACATAATAACAAAACCAGTTCACTAAAGCCCATTTGCCAAAATAGATTAATTTGATACAATATTTTTTGCAACATACAAGACTTTTCTTCCCAGGAAAAAATGATTTTCCTACACGATATTCTGGTTCTGGAAATGATGTTTGGTTTGTTTGTTTGTTTGTTTAATTCTTCTTATGCATGTTTGTGTTTCTTGAATTGTTTAATTATTAAAGAAGTTGGTTCCCATTATCCCAATATCCCACACATATTAAAAGATAATCCTCAAATTATGACTATAATTGGGACCAGAATAGCAATCTCTAAGCATTAAGTGAACAAGTTGGCAAGCTCCTAGAAATCACATGACTTCCAGGTTGTAAAGCATTCCTTTTAAAGAATAGAATAGAATAGAATAGAATAGAATAGAATAGAATAGAATAGAACAGAACAGAATAGAATTTATTTATTTATTATTTATTATCGGATTTATATGCCGCCCTTTCTCCACAAGGACTCAGGGCGGCTCACAGCAATAAACAACAACAAGTCCAATTAAAATTCAACAATAAAACTAAATTACCCATTAAAACCCCATTTAGTCCAGGATAGGACAGAATAGGATGGGGTGGGGTGGGGTGGGGTGGGGTGGGGTGGCGCAGCGCGGTGCGATGCGGTGTGGCGCGGCACGGCATGGCACGGAACAGAACAGAACAGAACAGAACAGAACAGAACAGAATAGAATTCTTTATTGGCCAAGTGTGATTGGACACATAAGGAATTTGTCTCTGGTGCATAAGCTCTCAGTGTACATACAAACAAAGTGATAGGTCATGTATCATAGATCATAGTTACAATCATAAATCATAATATACAACAAGTGATAAATCATATATACCAATAAGAGAAGGTAGTAGGAAAGATGAGAAGATGAGAAAGATGAGAAGATGAGAAGGATTAGGTATTTAGCAGAGTTATGGTATGGGGGAAACATATTTGTGTTTAATTGTTTTGGCATGCAATGCCCTACAGTGGCATCCAGAGGGGAGAAGTTGAAACATTTTATGTCCAGAATGTAAGAGGTTTGCAGATACTGTCTCAGCCCTACTTCTGGTTTGTGCAACGTACAGATCATTGTAACTTAAAACAATTGTTAAATGATTGGTTGTAAGTTGAAGACTACCTGTAGTTGAAATCCTACAATGATTCCAGAGTTTCTTTCTACTTGAAGATGCTGTCTGTGTTTCATCTCTAAATTAGGGCCTTGCCCATTAACATGTTTATTTCATCAGCTATAAGCTCCACTATCCATGCCTTGTTCACTGAAGTCCAGCATCTCAATGTGAATCTATCTATCTATCTATCTATCTATCTATCTATCTATCTATCTATCTATCTATCTATCTATCTATCTATCTATCTGGAAGATCTGAAAAACTTAAAATGGAAGGATGTGGGGACTGTAGCTGTGGACTGAAAATTATGGTGTATGCCTGTAGCCCAATGTGCTTAGCACAGGATGTGAAGAATAGCTGATCAGAAACAGCCCTTGTTAAACATTTTCAATGGAAAAGCTGGAGAGAGGGTGTTTGTACTGTCAAAAGAAGAATTTAGCTTAATTATTTTATTTTATAATACATTCTTTGTGTGACATTACACTTATGTTGTATTTGTCTGATGTTTTTACATGTGAAGCTTCTGAGTTGTTATTAAATTTCTAGAGAATTAGGCCCCTAAGCAGAGACAGTAACTGCTAAGTTCTAAAAATCATTGCTGTTTTAAATATATTAGTAGAATGAGGTACAGTACAAACAGATTCCAACCACAAAACAATCAATTAAAGAAATCTCTTAAATAGTAGCAGAAAACCCAGGTAAAATTGAATACTAATGTTTGATTCAGAAAGATTGTCAAAGAAATGAAACATTGGCTCCTCTCCTGGACTTGTCCTCGACTTACGACGACAATTGAGCACAAACTTTCTGTTGCTAAGTGAGATATTTATTAAGTGAATTTTGCCCCAATTTATGACTTTTCCTGCCACAGTTTTTAAGTGAATCACTGTAGTGTTCAATTAGTAACATGGTTGTTAAGTGAATCTGGTTTTCCCCATTGACTTTGCTTGCCCGGAGGTTACATAAAGTAATCACATGACCCCGGGACACTGCAACTGTCAAAAATATAAGTCAGTTGCCAAGTGTCTGATTTTTTTTTAATTTTTTTAAAAAAACATAAACATAAAACACATTTTTTCAAAACAAAGCTTTGAACTCATTATTTTACTCAGTTATTTCCCTCAATTTTATCTATTTAACTATGCCATTATCCCCAAAAACCCGTTACTTAAATTTTAAATCCTAATCAATTATAATTCCATTTTTCTCTTTCATTTGCTTAGATGGATATATTTTAACAATATAAATCATCACAATTATAAACATTCATAAGGTAATTAATTTCAACATAATCATTTTATTTTTACTAATGAACTCAACATTTATAGTCTTTATTCCTGTTATTAAACCTAACTTATTCATTTCATTTTAACTATTAATCTCAACATACTCCTCTTTATTTGGCTATCCCACCTCATTTTATTTTGCTATAAAACCCAACATCTTTATCTTCATCTATGTTGTTAAACCAATCATTTTTATTTCCTGGCTGTTAAACACAGCATAACCATTTTATTTTTGGCTGTTAATCACAGCATACTCATTTTTGTTTTTTGATCATTACACAGCATATCCATTTTTATTTTGGCTGTTACACAGCATAACCATTTTTGTTTGGCTGTTGAGACACAGTATGCTCATTTTGTTTTTTGGCCGTTACACAGCGTATCCTTTTATGTTTTGGCTGTTACACAGCATATCCATTTTCTTTGGCTGTTAAACACAGCATAGTCATTTTTGTTTTCTGGCTGTTACACAGCATATCTATTTTTATTTTTTGGCTGTTAAACACAGCATAATCATAGTTGGTTTAACTATCCCTACTTAATCCTTTCTTTGTTGTTTCCATCCATCTATACATTGCTTATTTTCAGTTAATCATATTTATCCTTATCCTTTTTCATAACAATTTAATATTGAGACATCATTCTTGCTTAAAGTATACCTTTAAATGTATTTATAAATTCCTTTTAACATTTTAAATTAACCATATTTATCTTTATCCTTTTTCATACCAATTTAAAATTAAAACATAATTCTCGCTTCAAACATACCTTTAAATATGTTTATAAATTCCTTTTAACATTTTTAATTTCTGTAAAAACCTCCTTTTTATTACTACAATCCACCTGTACATTGTTTTATTTTTAATCACATTGTTTCAATCTTCTTTTTTCTTTTTCCAGTCGTGTTTATCTTATTTCTTCATCTCCTCACCTGCAAACATATATTTCCTTCCATTTTCAAAGTTTTCAATTTTGTCCTCCATAAGTCTTATTATATCTTTTTGTTATTTTTATTCCGGATATAATATATCAAATCTTTTCTTGGGCCTGCCCTTATTGCTTCTATCCCTGAGCTAATATTTTAAGTTATTATTGTTTCAACTATAGGAGTTCCATTATAATTTCTTTTTCTTTTTACAAAAGTCAAGCTGCCTGCAGACAGGGAAAAAAAAACTGTCCTCTGTAAGATCTCATGACTTTTATCTGTAGGACTCAAAATTTCCCATAGCAGAAAAGAGTTACAAAGTTCCTTTTTGAACCAGATGGTGTCCCTCTACAATCCACATTTTCCATTAGTCATGTGAGTATCCATTTTGTGCTATTATGTAACAATCCAATTTATTTCTTCTTCTTTTAATTTTAAAAGTATCCAATCTTCTTCTTTTTTTAAAAAAAAAAAATCCAATTCAAATTTTAAAATATCCAGTCTTTGTCCCATATCTCGATATTTAATTCCTTTAGTTCTATTCAAAGCTTAGTTGTTTATTGGCTCTTTGTTTCTTTAAGGTAACATTTTAAACTTTCAGCCCCTTTGTTATTCAGCCGCTATTTTATAGCTAGGGGTCTTATAGATGTTAATTTTGCTCTAGGCGTTGTTCTAGCCTGGGTTGGTTG